TTTATAAATGGAAGCCAAATCTCTTATGTTCATGTAAATAGACAATTCCCATTGTAGACTAATTTTAGAACTAGGCAAAGAGATGCAAATCAAGGCCAAATTTTGGTGAAAATAGTGGGGTAGGTGGAAAAAAATGTTAGGGACGGTGCAGCAGTCTAGCTCACAACCCCCATGGAAGATTAGGGCTTGTTGTAGAACAGGCCAATATAAACAAGGTGAGGTATGCATGTAGTGTACATATTACCAGTTTATTAATTAATTATGAATGTATGACTCCAATCTTGCCCTTCATTGGAATTGGTACAAAGTTTCTTTCAAAACATTGCATTAACAGTGTACTTGACACAGATATGAATGGCTATCACTGTTTCAATTTTACAGAGAAAACTTTCTTATGTCACGAAGTGTAGATCCTAAGCAACCATCACATTTTCACTTTGTTCCATCATTGAAACTTTCCGAAGGGGAGGTGCATGACCTTTCAGGAGAAATGCAAAAATTCTCAGGGGAGGTGCAAAACGATCTCGGGGAGGTGCGCACCTCTCCACACCTCCCCTCAAAATCCGGCCTTGATGCAAATAAATCACCATTGGTAGAAAGAGCATACTAAAATAAGTAATTTATTTCAAAGTTTGGTTGTGAGATGTTGTAAAATACGGAAAATATAGCCTTGCAAAGTTTGCAAATTTTGTATACTTTTGTATTGCATGCGAAAATTGCAATACAAAAGTATACAAAATTTTTGCAACTTTGGAAGGCTATATATTTTCTACATTTTACAACATTTCGCAGCCAAATATTGCAATTTTATTAATTTTACTATGCCCTTCCCGGGAATATACCTTTTTTTGGTCTATAATGGGAATTGTCTATTGGTCCCCATTATCTATTTGTGTTTCTCTAAATAAGGAGCTAGAGTTTTTGTTTCTCTAAATAAAGATAAAGAGCTAGGGGGGGGGGGTGTTAAAATTTATGACCTTTTTTTGCCTGTTGTGGGATGTGTGTGAAAATTTTACTTATCTTAAGAGGGGTGCAACGAAAAAATATTATAACTGTAGAGTTTCTCCTCAGTCTCCCCCTGTACAATAAATAATGAGCAGTCCCTTAGCTGTATCTGCTTTTATGATAACGTGCGTCTCGTCTTTCTTCAATCCATCTTTGCGTTTGGCTGCGGTGGTGTTTTTTAGTTTTTTTATGCTTGGGCAGGTTGGAACGATGTAGAATGTTTGCAGCTGATGTTCGTATGGCATCTTTGGACTCGCCCGGTAAATCAGTGATGACGGCTTCGATCTCCGCAACTATGTCCTTCTTAGCGATAATGGACAGGGGTCTGTTGGAAAGGTGAATGATCCAATTCTGTGAGTCAGTCGTGTTTCTAGGTCTAAATTCTTGCCTCAATTTCTGTAACTTTTTTTGATGCCTTGCGTTGATGTGGTTTTGGACAGATTCAGCTCTACTTTTCAAAAACTGTGCCAAACGAGCGAGGTAGTCGTCGGAGACTAAAGTTGACAGTTCGCATCGGTTGTCAGCTATGATGCAATTAGTGGATCGCGTTTATTTGTGGAAGATACTGATTCTTGCACGCATACAGTGAGTCGTTGCTCTTTCCATGATAGTCCTTGAGTGACTTCGGGAACCAACGGTTTTGTAACTCTCGGTGAGGTAAAATTGAGATGGCAATAGTGGGCTTCGAGTTTGTAGGTGGATTTTTCTATAGATCTTGCTGATTTCAGGGCATTTCGCCCATCCTCTTGGCGGATGATATTAAAAATGCTAGATGCGCGACCAGGATTCATATATCAGTAGAATAGTTTTATATTTAGTATCACATTATTGGTCGAAGACTACAGACAGCGGGCACTCGAAAGCTTGTGTTTAAATTAATTTTAAGATCAGGGAACGTTTCAGAAGTAATTTATCATTACGATAAAAAACATTGGCCAAGTTTAGTCCCTTGAGGGACTCCTACTTTTATCAATTTCCACTCCGAGTAACAATCTGTTGCAAGTTTGACACATTGACTTCTACCTGTTAGGAAGTTTCAAATTCAGATTAGTATATGCGTATTTATACCATGAATAGTTAGACAGTTAATTTCGGTCAGAATTGTACATGTGCTTGCACAACATATTCTTCAGCTATTTTGGAGAGTGTCGGTTTTAAAGAGATGGGTCTCAAGTCGTTGGTAAGATTATCTACTTGGGTTGTTTTTGGTAGTGGAGTTTTTCAAATTGACGGAAGTTTCTCTTCCTGAAAGGATGAGTTAATTTTAATATGATGTAACTGGAAGTTGTAGGGTATTGGAATATCTTTCAAAACCCAGTGTGGGGTGTTATTAGGACCATTTTCACGCCGGGTCAGCTCTTCCCAAAAATCGGCCATCTGATATAAACTTTTTCAATATATTTCGGATGGACATGAAACTTGCTACATCAATATAACTTTCCATTCCGAACAATCGTATGTTTTTTATTTTTGAGATTTAACGGTTTTTGGCGGGAAAATGACGTCACGAAACCTCCAGTTAAAATTTACTTTCAATATCTTAATAGTTTTGTCGCAGAATTTGGAAGAACATGTCATGAACAGTTCAAAACTGAAAACGGATTTTAAATATCTAAACCTAATCCAAAGTTATTTCACTATAAAAACCGTGAAAAATCTAAAAATAGTAACAAAATGGTGGAAAATTCGATTCTAAACTCCGTGTATCTCGTGATTAGATTAAGATATTTAAAATCTCTTTTCAGTTTTGAACTCTTCATGACATGATCTTCCACATTCTGCTTAAAAACTATTAAGATATTGAAAATAAATTTTAACTGGAGGTTTCGTGACGTCATTTTCCCGCCAAAAACCGTTAAATCTCAAAAAATGTTTTGACGGCATTCAAACTCCCCTGAGGTGTTTACATTAGAAACAATTGAATTGTAAAATATTAACTTTGCGGAGGTCAGGAAATAGTTAAAGGGGGGTGATTACTCGCTGGGATATTTACAATAGAAACATCTGATTAATAAAATATCAACTTTGCGGAGGTCAGGAAAGAGTTTTAATTAAATACTTTCCCACCAAAAAGACAAATACCATTTTTGACAGATTGTTAACGCACCTTATAGGGACATAATAGAGTGTTTATTATTTCCCATCTTCCTATGGTGCAATTAGGAATTTACTATAGAATTGTTAGTCTCTCTATATTTTACTAAGAATTCTGTGTGTGTATTTATAGGAACTATAGTCTAAACGGATGCACAATTAAGTGATTACTATCGGAAGTAATTACTTTATATATGCGAAAGGGTTTTGCATTTGTGTGACGTTAAGAAATGTTAATAATAACTAGTTAATTTAACATATGAAGTTGCATTAGTTGTTTTGAGTTCAGTTCTTCTGTGTCTTAGTCTCTTTCACAGATGTTCTTATTGATTCAACCCTTGCTAATGAACCTCTGCTGGACTGAGTTGTACATTCCATTCCCTCCAATTGATCAATCACAGCGAATCTTCTGAATTTCCGCAATGAAAGTTACCGAGTCATGTATATTAATATACAGAAATGCATGAACTAATAGAAGAAAACTTCCGATTGGCTTTTGCTCTATGAATCACTGCAATATGATTTCTTGAAACAAAGGGAATGGAATGTGCAGCTCAGTTCAGCAGACGTTTGTTAGCGAAGGTTGGAGCAATAAGAACGTCTACAAAGAAGACTATCTGTGTCCGATATACCGGGTTAAAGAACGTGTCAATAAGATATGTCTCTTTCCGAAACCTCCTCTGGGTCTAACCCAGGTTCAGATCAAGCAATGGACTGTACAGAGGAACCTGACACATTGGGTCATCCAATTGATTGTCAAAAGAATTGTTGCAAAGATAAAACAAGAATTGATCGTTGGGAAACCGTATTAAAATCCTATGAAGAACTGACAAAGCCTAGCAATATGGCCAAACCCAAGCCCAAACCCAAGGCCAAGGACATGTCAGACGATCCTTTAAATCACGCTTTCAAGTTGACTCGCGAAATCAAGAAGCTGAAGAAGACGAATAGGGAAGTGAGGAGTGAATTGAAAGATTTTTCTAGGAAGTCAAAAAAGTTTACAGTCGACTTATTAGATACATGCGAGAATAGCAAAGAAGTTGACGTTATTTTCAATTCTGGTCAGGACGATGAGCAGAAGAAGATTGAAATACTGACAGAAGCTGTAGCTGCTAAGCATAAAGAGGTATACAGATCAGAAATGTTATTGTAATACATTGATATTGTTTAGGCACATAAAATCATCACATGAATAGTGCATTGTGCAAACCATCAGTACACTATGCATTTCGGCATCATCTTCACCTATGCCAGCATAGTGGTAAGCAAACTTTTACAAGAACCGGACATTACTCCAGCTGGTTAACTATACAATTAATTTTTTATATTATAATATAGCATTTGTAAATTCTGAACGCTGATTGACTAAGAACCGTGTTGAAATAACTCAATATCAACACAGAAATGTCGGAAAATTTCTTTCTTTATGTTTCTTTGTGGGTCGCTTTGAGACGTATGCGAGCGTTGTAAATTGGTTTGTCATATAGCTTGGTGCACAACCAGTCACACATTATAAAATGACGCAAAAGTTTCTATATTGTAACTCAGTCCGGTCTCTACTAGCTGCTGAGGTAGCAGCAGGTCTCTTGCCATCTAGTTTAAAACCAATGATAGCCATACCAAGCTTAAACAGCATCTTTATAGGCAGGGATTTGAATGATATAACATAAACTAATAAACAAATACGTTTCGTCCCTACAAATTAGCATTAGTAAATAATTTGTTGATGCCTGTCAAATGTTATATGTCAAATTTAATTGTTCTTGCGGTTGCTGTGTTTAATTAAACTTTCAGTAAGCAGTTTATCCATGCAAAAATTCGTTAATTCAATTTGTGGCTAATGACTTGCCCTGTTATTTCCAGGAAGTTGGGTTGTTGTAAGTAGATGTATGCATTTGCTGTGATAGTTTAGCATTTAGCATTCTTATAATCTGGCCGGAGTGTTTACAACACCTACTTCCCAGCTCCAACTATACCATTTCTGTATTGAATAAAGAAAATATTTTGAAATCTTGTGTCGTGGCATTAATCCTTATTGAATATTGGCTTCAGTTCCAAAGATCCCGTTTTCCGTAGATAAAATAAATTTGACCGTATTAACCAATGGCCCAAACGACTGATTATTTAGGAACAACACAATACAATAAGCAACAGTACAGTACAGCACGGCATCGCATAGCAGGCTAAATTATAACGGGTACCTCATTTGCCAGAATAAATCTAAATAGAAAAATTAAATGGTTACTTTAGTTGGATGTCATATTGAACCTAATGGCAATATAACAATATCTTTAAAGCTATATCCGGTATATTTGAGAGATTTATTTCATTGATTGATATGCACTATATAATTATACAAAGGTTCATTGATGTGAAAATTGGCTAAAGGTGCTTGACAGTTTACCCGGTTATAAAAATCTGAAACTTTTTATATGATTCTAGACGCAACTAACATTTCGGTACCCGGAAAGACCCGTTGCCGAAAGACACTTTGCCGAAAGACATTTTGCCGAAAGACACTTTGCCGAAAGACATTTTGCCGAACGGACATTTTGTCTAAAGGATCAAATATCAATTTGCTGACTATATTGCAATGACGAGCTTGTCGACGTCAAATGTGTTAGAGCTGCAGCCTTTCTAGCATGTGTCACATACCTTACAATTAGTAATTACCGTGAACATTAGCGTGATTTCTTGTACCATACATAAATGAAATCTTCAGTTTTGGGGATTAAATTTATTCAAGTTTGGCATAATAAATGCGTTCGCATTATCGAAATTTGAGGCGATTTTGAACATATTTTGGTATGTTATTCATTCTATATAACTAAAATATTGTATCGTTCATACAATGCTCTAGTTTTTTATAGCTTCTTATTGTCCTAGCAGTCGAAATATATGTGATTTTGAATGTTTTGTAACGGTTGATGTTTTGCGTGGCGAAACCGGAATTTTATATTTTCGTGGTCCGAAAATATTGGGACGTAAAAATGTTAGAATTTACAAACACTAACCATTTATATATATTTACAATCTCTAAGGCATGCTGCATGATTTTAAATATGGTTGAATGAATTTCATACATGCAGTATTTCAAAAGTTATGATCGATTATCTGTTTTTAAATAAAAACAACACGTAATATGTATATATAGGTAATAGCATGGTCATGGTTTCGAGTGTAACCCAGCGTGCAAAAAGACGTTTATCCAACGTTGAATCAACGTTGGAAATGACCTTCCAGACGTTGGATAGACGTTGAAAAAGGGTTGACTATGCAAATTGGATTGACGTTACTGTTTCGACGTTGACACAACGTTGAAATCAGGTTGCCAATCTCGTCAACTAGAATTCAACGTTGAATCCACGTTAACTGAAACAACGTTGAGATTGGTTCACAAATCGACGTCGTACATTTAGCCATGAATGAACGTTAATTCAACGTCTGTTGGCTGCTGTTGAACCAATGTTTGTAAAACAACGTCAGAGCAACGTAGATATTAGGTTATCGACGTCCAACCTTTTTTCTACCAAATTTCAACGTTGAAACAACGTCGTGTGCCCGGTGGGAATTGGGATATAACATGCACGAGTGAGTAGTTTTCAAAGACCTCAAAATAGCACGAGTCCAAAGGAAGAGTGCCGTATTTGAGGTCTTTGAAAAACTCACGAGTGCGAGTTTATCCAAATTTCACGAGAAACCATGCTATTACTTATTAATAACTTACATAAAAATGTTCGAGACAATTGTAGTTTTAACTTATAGTTTGTTACAGATTTTTACACTGTGATTACAGAAATTTGCACTGTGATTACAAAAAATTGCACTGTGATTACAGAAAATTGCACTGCTGTTTGGGATTAACTGCACTGAAATCAACCAATCACAGTCGAGTAATGTTTTTTATGTATATTATTACGATCGTGGGACAGCAACTAGCCTTTTTGGCAACAATTATATATATATATATATATATATATATATATATATATATATATATATATATATATATATATATATATATATATATATATATATATATATATAGACGGTACCGTTTCGGCCTTCTGGGCCTCATCAGTGTAGTGCTGATGAGCAGGATGAAAGTAACTGCTATTTACAGTTACCTTTGATGCCTCACGATTATGGGACATCAAAACCATGCCAGAGCGCTCAAACTGCAAGCAGTGAGCGTGCGCATTGCGTAAGCGGCATATATATATATATATATATATATATATATATATATATATATATATATATATATATATATATATATATATATATATATATATATATATATATACATATATATATATATATATTTTAGGATTATTCTACAGCCGACCTTCCATTAATTAATAAGGTATAGAGTACTCATTTCGTACTTTTCGTCAGAACCGTAAAAAGAAAACGGGTATGAAGGATTATAATTTCTGATCTTGTGCAAGATTGTGACGTGTTTAATTTAAACAACCCCTGATTAACCAAGCTACATTGATGAGGCGTGGAACGCCGACACATGCATGTCTGCAGATTGTATTATATACAGCAAAGCTTTCAAGATAATTTATATATTTTATTGTTCATCCAACTAAAAAGAGCAAACGTTGAAATCAAGAACCTTTTTAAAGTTTATATTCCCCGCATCAAATCCCTACATGAGTATTGCTGTACAATGGTCCATGCATAATAGCTTTCCTCACTACCTCCATCTACGCTTGAAAAGGGTACTACCTCCATCATATCTACGCTTGGAAACGGTAAAAAATTAGGTGTTTATTCCTAAAGTTTATCCCCAAGCCAATTATGAAAAAGCTTCTACTCTAAAGCACCTTCCACTCTGAAACAACTCAACCGAACTTCATCTTTCCTTAGCCGCAAGACATTATTACGGATTTATAAACAAACCATCTTGCCTGTCTTAGATTATGGTTATACCGTTTAGTTTGGGCAGATTGTGGTAAACAAAATTCGCAACGAGTAGAATGTTTACAGAACCGGGCAATGCGTATTATTTTATCAGCAAACCGCAAGACGTGTATCCGGTCACGTGTCGTGCTGACGTCAGGATGCCTGGTTACCATGCAAGTTGCTAATAACCTTGGTTAGTGCATAACCTCATTTAATACCTTGTCCACCATACTTACCCATTTGGTTGGTTAGGTGTTAGCTCAGCTGACCGAGGGGAGTGACCTGGACTGACTACTATTACTTGGACTCAGATTAAGAACCGTGACAATGGCATCTTGCAATTGAGCTGCCAACCAAAGGTGATGGGTAGCATCCCCCCTCCAAGGAACAAAAGGGACCACCACATCTTGCATGCGGGGGAACAAACGACATTATAATAAGGCACATTTATTCAGGCATAATAAGGCACCTTTATTCAGAAGTCATTACCAGCCGCTATGGTAAGACAAGCAAGAAATGCGCACTAAATTTTTAATAAAATGGTTTATTGTCGCTTGAGAAGAGAAGAGAAGACGTTTTCTTCGCTTACAATTTGTATTTAAGATAATAAATTATATTAACTGTCCAGAACAGTCAACTGCATGTGTATTTTTTTCTAAGATCAGAAATGCGCAACAGACTCTGAGAGATGATAAGTTGTTGCATGTAATTCCAACTAAACTGAAAATTGGTCAGAGTCTTCGTTTCAGTGTTCAGCAGCAACAAAATGGCACACTTTACCAAAACAACTGCGGGAAATGAATTCATTGTCATTGTTTAAAAGCAATGTTTTCAAGTATCTTTTAGACGTCTATAGTGTTATAAAAACAGCATGTGGCTTAATCTTCTAGATTTAATTGTAAGAATTATAATAAATGGCAATAGGTATATAATGTACATATTTATATTGATTATATGGACAATGATGTTTTACTGTAAACTAAAACACTCGTAGAACTCATACGTTACTACACCCGGAATCAGGCGCGCGTATCCTCCGGATTTCACCTCTGCGAGTGACATACAAATGGTATTTTAAAAATACAAATGGTATTTTGGTTTGTATTTAAAACGAAATTAACGTTGGAAATAAAACGAAATCATTTAAAAGACATCTTGAAATAAGTAAAATTTATTCATGTTTGCACTATAATTTAACACTGGTCTTTTGCGCTTTTACACTGGTCATTGCGCTTTTACACTGGTCTTTCGCGTGTTCATTTACATGTCGTCTTTGTGTGTATTTTTGTCACTCTGAATAAGTCCATATAAGAGGGTCCTGAAGGGAGGGGGGGGGGGTCCCAATCCCATTTACCACCTGAAATTTTTGCAAAATCCCAGTCCCAGTTGGATTTTTATTAGAAATCCCAGTCCCAGTTATTGAAATCCCAGTCAATAAAGAATCCTTTATTTATCGGTAGAATAAACAGTTTTAAGACCTTTTAAGCAAGTGGCGGACACTTTATGAAATATCAGGGGGGGGCTCGTGCCGAAGGCACGGAAAATTTTTAAATTTGAATCCCAGAAATGGCATTTGCAGCATTCTGAGACACGCATAATCAGAAAACCCAGAATTCCGGGCGCCAGAGTATGCTTGTTCGCAGGTAGTGCTGTGAATAATATAGTTAACAACAAAAATCATGACCAAAGACACCAAAAACGGATCAAACTTGTATTTTAAAATACTCAAAACGTAGAAAAATTGGGAATCGACTCGCATTACCTCAATCCCAGTCCCATTTTTGAGGACTTCATTTCCCATTCCCAGTGGCCAAATCCCACTCCCAGCAACCCAAATCCCATTTTCCCAGTCTAAAGAGAGATCAATCCCAGTTCCCATTTTACCCCTTCAGGGCCCTCATATAATAAACAGAACATTAAACGGTTGCGAGAAGATATGGATTTATGTTCTCGTGTCAAAAACAATGTCTCACTCGTTCGCTGCTGCGCTCATTCGTGCATGCGATATTGTTTTTGCCACTCGGACATAAAATCCATATCTGTTCGCAACCGTCTAATACCTCTATAATTATATTAGCCTATATTGTACTGGTCCCCGGATTATACCAGCTACTATTAGCTGATCGGGTTTTTACCAGCTTTAATAAAATGTCTAGCCAGAGAACGTTGTGACTCATTGTGTAATTTTATTGTTGAATAATTTAGCCACTAGGTTTAATAATAATAATGTCTATTTAAAAATAGACATTATTATTATTAAACCTAGTGGCTAAATTATTCAACAACAAAATTACACAATGAGTCACAACGTTCTCTGGCTAGACATTTTTTTTATTTACGAGCTGTCGGCTATCCGACCTTCGACGGGTGAAAGAATATAATTGCGGCGGTAGGAATGTTACGTAGCTGTAATACAGGAAAGTGTATAGGTGATTAATTAATGCAAGCACATATTTTGTGATCAGCTTTATGGGTGATATAATTTCTGTGATTAATTTTAATTCATTCTTTTAATTTAAAGCAGTAAAGAGTTCAGTGCCTATTTCACGCTGTTTATTTAAATTTTGTGTTTAGATTTCCGCACTCACAAGACGTTCGTAATTACCGCGGGCTCCGATGCGTGCCGATTAAACCTTAATTAATCAGGACACCTATGCCGATTATAATGTTTAAGCGGCTCGGTTTTGAGCCAAACAGAATAATCATAGTACATTGATTAAAATTATATCAAGTTAAGTACGAATTTATACAATAACTGCAGTAAGTGGTTGTCTTAAACTAATGCTTGAATGTTTTTAATTTTATATAGTTTGTTGCACATCGCCATGCTCAACAGTTGTTGCGTACAATCGTATATGCAGATTTTCCAACCAGAAATTTTGTCCAGGGTCTTTTTGGATATGCCTCCTACACCATAACGTTTCCAATTTGGGCATGTATATTCATTTTGAAACCGCAAACGTTTCACAACGAATGGTATTATATGGGCAAACCGTTTGGCAAGTTTGTGAGCCATGCTTCACAATATTGCGTTTTTGTCACTCTGCTGGCTCTTTCGTCTTTAAGGAACAGTACTGAGCCAAGAGCAATTGGTTAGTATATATATATTATTACATTGATCCCAAACTAAAATATTTTTTCAATACATAAAGTACTGCGAATAAGCTTTCCGTCATCCTGAAAGGCCTAAAGTATCACTAAATTCTACTTTAAAATTATATCTTCCTCACAGGCATGCTTTCTACATTAACACGGTCTTAACTTGATAACAAAAAATTAAAGTAAACGCGGTATATATGTTTAACAGAGAATCTTTTTCTGGCTTTTCCATGTTGCTGACAATTTCTTTTTTTAAAGTAACGGAATTTTAAATTTCTTGTTTGTCTCCATGGCGAAATATTAACTATGGATTGGTTTTGTGGAAACACCAGTGACGTATATAGAGGATATTGGACGGTTGCGAAGAGATATGGATTATGTGCTCGGGTGGCAAAAACAATATCTCACTCGTTCGCTGCGCTCACTGTTGAAATATTATCCCAAACTAAAATATTTTTTCAATACATAAAGTACTGCGAATAAGCTTTCCATCATCCTGAAGGGCCTAAAGTATCACTATAAATTCTACTTTAAAATCATATCTTCCTCACAGGCATGCTTTCTACATTAACACGGTCTTAACTTGATAACAAAAAAATTAGAGTAAACGCTGTATACATGTTTAACAGAGAATGTTTTACTGGCTTTTGCTTGTTGCTGACAATTTCTTTTTTTAAATTACCGGAATTTTAAATTTCTTGTTTGTTTCCATGGCGAAATGTTAACTATGGATTGGTTTTGTGGAAACACCAGTAACGTAAATAGAGGATATTAGACGGTTGCGAAGAGATATGGAGTATATGTTCGAGTGGCAAAAACAATATCTCACTCGTTCCCTGCGCTCACTCGTGAAATATTGTTTTTGACACGAGAACATAAATCCATATCTTCTCGCAACCGTTTAATGTTCTGTTTATTATACGGACTTATTCAGAGTGAAAAAAATACACTCAAAGACGACATGTAAACAAGCACGAGGAAAAAACAGTGTAAAAGCGATACTTTTTAAAATTATAGTGCAAACATAAAACTAGAATAAATTTTACTTATCTCAACATGTCTTTTAAATGTTTTCGTTTTAAATTATTTCCAACGTTAATTTCGTTTTAAATACGAACCAAAGACCATTTGTATTTTCAAAACAACAACAATGAAAATGGCGGGAAATTTTCGAACTTCGTGTGTCACTCGCGTGAGGGGTGAAATACGGAAAATACGCGCACCTGGTCCCGGAAGTAGTGACGTATGAGTTGTACGAGTGTTTTAGTTTCCAGTAAAACAGGATTGTCCATATAATAAATTAATATTTGGCAATTCAAAGCTTCCGATCCGTTAGCCCGAGGATCACGACAATGTTAAATGCCATCGATATCATCATCATTCATTTCCAACACACGGGGCAAAATAAGCACGAGCTAAAGCGTAGCCTGCGCACGGACGTTTAGTGCGGACGGGAGAAGAGAGGGCGTCGTTTGAGGAAACGCTTGCCAAATGGCTATGACTAATTTGTTTTCTTAGCACACTAAAGACAGTACCAATAAATAGTACTAAAAATTATTAACAACAAAATTACGAACGACAAACACCCAAAAATATCTGCTTGCACAGCATCACAAACTTTACTGAATCAAATTAACATTAATATTCACAGTCGCGTTACTTAGGTCGCTATTGCAAAATAAGCCGTCCAATGAAATATTCCTACTTTGAGAACTTCCATATCCGCGTCTAACACCTTTCGAAACACCTGAAACCTGCCAAGAATATACTAATTAGAAAACTATATTTTATAACAAATGGTAAATGAACAGCCTGCGTCGAATATGTCTGTCTTCAGGCTTTCGACAACTGACACATCAAGGCCAAAGTTACAGGTTCCTGACGGCCCATAGTCATTGGTTCTTTCGCTCTTCCAGGATTCAAATATACAAAACGTCCCACTGTGTTTTATACTGCGTAGCCTTTCGCACTGCATTTTTTTATTCTTTTCGAAGCCTCCTCTTCGCTCAATGCTTCTCCAAATCGTTAATCTCGCCATCAAACACATGGACAAATGAATCATGTTATGGGTGGATTCACGCATATATTTTCATAGTTACATATACTTAAATTTTTCTTTACTAAAGCAATAAAAGGTCTTATTCCTTTGACGCAATGAATATTTAATGAGTTTGAGAAGCCATTTTCTATCCCCGGAACTGTGTTTGCTCTCAACACTCGAAACTAATGACTCGTGTTGGGCACCCTACTGCAAACACAGCTTCTCGGTTAGGAAATATACAATTACTTTATGGTTTCCGTGTTTGGATGGCCTGATCCAAACACGCGGGAATGTTGCGAGAGTTAAGAAAAGCGAGCGAAATCGCGAGCCGAAGGCGAGTGATTTTGCCCGCTTTTCTTAACTCGAGCAACATTCCCAAGTGTTTGGATCAGGCCATTCGAACACGGAAACCATAAAGTAATTGTTTTATAAAATAACAACAACACGATAGTCTCCGTGTTTGGATGGCCTGATCCAAACACGGGTTTCGACCAATCAGAACACGCGTTGTATACATGTTATTTTATAATAGTACTTCTTAAAATCATCGTCCAACTTCATAGCTGCAATGCCAAGGCCCAAGTGATGTAGCCTCAACTATCTAGTCTTGAATTATACTTAAGAAATATTCGATCCCTGGTCGTGCTGGCATCAGAGCTATTAAAACAGCATGTAGCAAGCTTTGATTTGCCGAAATATATTGTAACATGACATTGTTATACCATGTTATTTAATATATTCAATACTATATATATTTAGTACTGTTATAATTATATGAAGAAGACTCCCTCGCATGAGTAAGCGAATACTTATAGAGATTAAAGAACCACGGGAAACGCCTACTACCACAAACCACGCAAACAAGGCATGGTTTTGTGGTAAACACTGCTAGAACTTGCTTTGACAAACATATTGCGTAGAGGAAATTGGTCATAGTTATAGATTTCTTTCTCTAAAATTTATTATAAAAGCTGAGCACAACCTGAGAGTCGAGAGAGCGGAGAGTGAAGTAAGAAGAACCATTTAGGCTAAAATACTTCATTGGCCAACAACGGCTGAAGTATATAATTAAAAGGCTAGATAGTTTAATCAAGTAAACTAAAGTAAACTATTTAGTCAAGTAAACTAAAAAACATTGGAATACTGCGGAATTATTAAAGAAGACGGAATACGAAGTATAAAGAATAAAGATTCAAAGTTGTGCTCAGCTCCGTCAAATAGAGAGATAAGTTGATATATTAAGAATACTACATTATAGAGACGCTAATTCATATAGTTGAAAGTAAATAAAAATATATAAAAGGTATAAGGTTTCATGCTATTTGTGTTACGGTGGCGTATAATTTGAACCCGAAGCTGAAAGGTGGAAAATATATCTAATTACTCGCTGGGGCACTAGTGCCCAGGCTAGTATAGGTTTCGGCACGCATGGTGGATGTCAGATCGTCGTTGATGGCCACAAAATAGAATATTAACAAGACGCTCTACGGAGCGTTAACTCGTTGGGGCTATACAACTACGCACATTACTGTACCTCTCTCCTCCGCAGAGGCTTTAATTGAGCCTCTGCACGATGCCACACCCAATATGGCGGTAAACCGGGGGGGGGGGGCGTATAATTATCAAACGCAAAATTCAAGTCAAAATGACTGAGAAAATATCTCTTTACAAAAACTGCAACAAGCTGACAAAGAGATTATTTACTAGCTCTACGAAATAAGAAAGTGTTATGTTCAGTTTGCGAGAAAACATCTGCATTTTTTCTACACAAGGTCTCCATCTACAGTATAAAACAATGCACGGAAACAACGTTTTAGCGAACAGGTTTTGGTTGCAAGCGAAGAAACTTTTATTTAAATTTATATTTGACATTTGTATTTTTAGAAATGTGTCCAAAACCGCATAAAAGAAAAAAATGAGTATGTATGGCATACAGAACCATTATTAAATTTATTATCAAGACTGAAAATACAATTCAACTATTTCAACTTCAGCAATATTTATAAACAAACGCGACCTTCAGTCGGTTTCGATCTAATTTATTTGGAGGTTCGTATCTTTGGTTCAATATACGCTGTGTAGATGAAAATACCACCGTTCGATTCAGTACAAAAATATCTCCTAGTTTCTATCGATAGTTTTAGTGAAATGTCAACACTATAGCGATTTACGACCTTTGAAAGTCAAGCGGGATTTTGTACATTAATATCAAATCACGCAATGTTTACACTTGATAAAAATATAAACTAGGCAAAGTAGGCATACCTTTCGGCGAACATAACTTCGGATCCTTGGGACGCATCCTCTTTGTATTACTCTTGTTCGAAAGCGAATTCAAAACACTACTTAGAGTGTTATTTTTGAGCTTGTATCTTGAAAACGTCATCTTTTATTATGGTATATCCATTCCTGGTCTGATTGTGAACTAATTCCCGAACATCAGCGTGTGACAGGCGCGTGCGACTGTGCGAGTAAAAACACAATATTTTGAAAAATTAAAAATAAATATTTCTACTGGCCATATTCAAAAGAAATTTTCTACACGAAAGCGCTTGAATACAAGGAGTATTTTACTTCTTTGACTGGTGGCGAATTCCGAAGAGTTCAAGAAATATTCAAGTTTTTCTCGATACGTAATACAGAATGTTTGGCCAAGCGGTGAGTAAAATATACGATTGTTTGCTTTGTGTATTAAATGTTAAAAATATTACTTTTGACCATCCACAAACATGCAAGCACTAGTCAATGAGGTCAATCAATCATGCATTAAATAATGATTTAATTTTCAAAAAGACGTTTCTTGTTTAGCTTAAAAATCACCTTTTGTTTCAGTGTTTACACTTTGTCCCACTTTGCGATGCAAATCGTGCAGAGGCTTCGCGCCTTCCTTGGCCTTCCCTTTGCCGCCTGCGCTCCTTCGCCCAGCGGCTACGCTCGTGTTGCAAGATCCGCCATGTAAAGTGTAGTGAAATGTATCTCATCGTAATATTAAATCCTAAGAAAACTAAAGCCTCTGCGGAGGAGAGAGTTACTGTACAATGTACATGATACATACAGTACACAGCTCTTTCAATTGAGATTTAAGATTTTCCCCGAGCTAAGCGGACAAGTCGAACGGAGTGCGAAAGGCTTAACTAGAGGGCACTCAGAGACTGCATACCTCCGCCCGTTACTCGGAAGTGAAACGCAACCTTGGAATTTCCTAAGAAATCCACTTTATAATTCTTAAGCATAAAAGATTTCAGGCCCCCGCGAATTGAAATCGAATTGCTAATAGAACATATTACTGTTGTTGTACTGTACAGTACTTGTAAAATAAAAACTTATTAAGTGTCATTAAATAAATGCATAAATTTTGCTTTATGCACTCGCGCGTGCAGTAATTTTCACAGTTGTGCTATTTTAAATTCCCAGGCAGCTAAAATCTTTTGTCTTTAAAACAATGTCGATTTCTTGGGAAATTCCGAGGTTGCGTTCTTTTTATACACCCTGTATTGAAGTAATCTAATGTTGTTAGAATTTGAATGGACTGGCACTTTGATGAACGTAATAATGCGTAACTCCGTAAGCCTTGTTTTAGACATTGAATTTCGGTCGCGTGAAATGCAACTAAGACAATAGATAATGAAGGCCGAAGCTTAATGAGGTTTATCATCTCATTACTGTCTTAGCACTGAGTGCATAAATTATACACGTCCTAATTACGCATTCAGTAATATATTTTGTTAATTGACCGGGAAAAGCAAGACAAAATTTTGTTCATTTCTCGTTCAATTTTTAACGAAATTCAACCAAATTTTAATCAGTTCTTCCTTAGCCGATGGGAAATGCATTCAAAAAATTTCGTACGGATATGTTTGGTATTTCTTGAGTTATCGTGCTCACAGACAAACACACACACATACACACACACACACATACACACACACATACACACACACATACATACAAACCCAGATGATTACATAACCTCCTGGCGGAGGTAATAACACAGTACTAAAACGGTAGGCCCTACAAATAAAGTTATATTTAGTACGCTACATTTTCCTTCAAAACTGTCAAACGCCAGTTGGTCTAGGATTAAACTGCGCTTTAAAACGTTCAAAATAAAATATTTTGGGGCTTTTGGGCTCAAAATACTATCAAAATGAAGCGAGAAGTGAGACGAATCCACTGGTATACGGTCGAAAAAGAGAAAACCAATGATACCAAAGTTATCAAGGGTCAAATGTACTGCATTTTTTATAATTACTAATTAGTTTAATAATTTTGAGCGATTAGCAACAAAACAATTTCGCTTGGCTTTCAAAGACAAAGGCCATAAATCGCTAGAACACTATTGTTTAGTAATAATTTGGCATTCGTAATTAGTACAATTTCTAACGCTGAATCGAACGGTGGTAATTTTATCCTTATCGGGCCATTAGGCATTACAAATACACTATGAAACGTACTGCGAGCAATTTGTCAACAAATACAATTTTACTTGATTTTCAATTCAAAGGCCATAAATCGCTTAAATACTGGTGCTTAGTAACACATTTGACATCTGTAAGTACAATTTCTTACGCTGAATCGAACGGTGGTATTTTTATCCTTATTGCGCCATTAGGCATTACAAATACAAGTACAAACCTGTGGACAAACGTAGTGCGAGTGATTTGTGATCAACATTACGTACTGCGAGCGATTTTTCAACAATACAATTTAATTTCTCTTCATTTTCAAAGGCCATAAATCGCTAGAATACGGGTGTTTAGTAATACACTTGACATCCGTAAGTACAATTTCTTACGCTGAATCGAACGGTGTCGCTTTCTTCTCAAAATATAAAGCAGCGCAGTCAAACGCATAAACTTTTATCAAACTTGCGATTTGCGAAGGTTGCTGTTTCCATGCGAAATTCCTTGTAAAATTGTTCAATTTTCCCGAATTTTCCTCAAATGGAGGGCTATTTATGGATAATTTGGGTAAAATTGATAGGAGCCTTATGGATAATTGGGCGAAAATTAGGCAGCTCATTAGTATTCTATTTTGTGGCTATCGACGATTGGAGATCCATGATCCGTGAAAAATGCAAGCCGAAACCTATACTCGTCTGGGGCACAGTGCCCCAGCGAGTAATGAGCTGCCCAATAAAACCCATTTATCATTTTCAAAATGGCGGCCTTTCGTGGAGTGGGCAAAGTGTTTCAAACAATTTTGTTAAAATGTTCGACGAATTGTACCTGTTTTCTATAGATTTTGCATTGTGTCTAACTCTGGACATTCTTGCTAGTTTAGTTAATGTGCACGCCTCTGAAAATCCGAAATTTGGATTGTTGACAAATCGCTCGAAATTTATATTAAACTAATTATAAAAAATGCAGTACGTTTGATCCTTGATAACTTTGGTATCGTTGGTTTTCTCTTTTTCGGCCGTATACCAGTTGATTCGTCTCACTTCTCTCTTCATTTTGACACTATTTTGAGCCCAAATGAGCCCCAAAATATTTTATTTTGAACGTTTTAATGCGCAGTTTAATAATAGCGAACGGACCAACCGGCGGCCGTATTTGTAGGCGGAAACGCCGGAAGTTTTATTTGTTGGGCACCGCATTTTAGTGCTGTGTCTGATTGCATAAAATCCTGAACTGGGGTCATTATACTAACAATAACTTCAAAACTAAGCCACTTGTACCTGCAATACAAACCTAGCGAATTTGAGAGCGGCAGCACTCTCCCCTTGACAAGAAAGATCGACTGGTACGGAACGTATGAGACATTAAAATAATAAAGTAGGGTGCATTGCCATTGGGGCACAATGCAAGTTAGTTGGATAATAACATGGTATTTACTTAAATAAACAAAGCAGTGAGAGAACTATTCTGTTATACGACTTTTCCGCTTAGCTCAGGGACAACCTTAAATCTTAATTGAAATAGCTGTGTACTGTATGTATCATTCATACATGTATGTATCATTCATACATGTATGTATCATTCATTCAATTAAGCGAGCAAAGCGGAAAAGTCGAATACGAGCGCGAAAGGCTGCTGGGAATCGCTTTGAAAATTCATTAATTTGTTAGCGATTTCCAGCAGCCTTTGGCGCTCCTGTTCGACTTTTCCGCTTTGTTCGTGGACAACCTTAATTGAAATAGCTGTATACAGTAATGTGCGTATTTGTATATCCCCAGCGAGTTAAATAACCCTCTACCTCTCCAGAGCGTCTTGTTGGAAAATATATTTGACGCATAACGCACCATAACAAAATGTATATATAAATCAAAAGATATACTTTTCCGTATGCCGTAGGAAGAATCGCGATAACCGTGTCTTCACCACGTAGCAAGTTAATAATTTCAACTGAATTTTGAAGCCTAAATCACTTGAAATATAAGAAAGAGTTTCCTCCAAAGCATTAACAGGCATATTTTTTATGAGAAATATACGGCTATCTGCTATTCGATCTTTCGATATGCAAGCAAAATTATTGTTGACAGTTGACATTTGAGTTACGTAATTACTTCCGCGTTAACGAGATTGAGCAGTGGGAATTAAAGTCGAAGATTCTTCGGTCAAAAACGAATTAGTCATAGCCATTTGAGCAGGCGTTTCTTCAAACGATGCCCTCTCTTCTCCCGCCCGCACTAAACGCCTACCACGCAGGCTAGGTAAAGCGTGACCAGTCTATCTCTGTGAAAAAAACGACGGCGTATCGGCGATTGGTTCTATCAAAAACCAGGAATTTAAGACATTTGCCTGACCCTGGCAAGGTTTCTGCCTTATTTCTACTAGTCGTTACATAAATCTAAATTTTGATGATAGGGAACACATAATCTGTTTTGGAGAAGTTATAAATAGGCATTGTATTTGAAAATCCCTTTGAAATGGATTAATTAAAAACACTATTGAATTGATAATCGCAATTTGGAGAAGTACATTAGAATATCAGTATTATATTGCCTGCTACTCTAGAAAGCAAATGGTTGGTTATTTTGATTACTTCTATTGGTATATGGTATAGTATTTATTAAACGCAGATAAAAGGGGACATTTTCTGAGACACCCTGTATTGATTATCATTTGGCTAATTTAAATTCTAATAACACCCCAACTTCTATGACAATCCATCCATATACTTTCTTTTTTTTCAGAATATTTGATTCTTACATTCGTTCTGGCAATGGCTATCGAACAAACGAGAAAAATCGTGAGAAAAAGGTTCTCCTATTTTTATAAATGGTGGAACTGCGTTTTAGCAGCCATGCTGATGAGTTTCGTGACATCTGCCTTTCTCATGTTGATTGGCTCAAGATTGATTGGAGGATGGTCAACCGCTCAACTTGTGTCAAAATGCGATATTGCAGGACACAACATTCTACTTCTTGCCAACAGCTTGTTTTCGATCTCTTCGGTGATAAGCGTTTTTTATTTGGGTAGTTTGTGCCAAGTAAACTCCACGTTTGGACCGTTGCAGCTGTCGACATTACGGATGATGAAAGACATTGGCAAATTTTTAACGATATTTTTGGGCCTTTTCTTTGCATTTACACTCGGCGTGCGAAACCTTTACTCGTACAATAAAAGTTTGGAAATTGAGTACTTTCACAGCAACGCCAACAGTACGGCACACGAGCTTGCCAAGTATGTATTCCAAAATAATATCGAATGTCCAAAGTTCTTTTCTTAAAGATTACGAGACAATTAGGGAGAGTCAAAAATTATCATTTTTTATTTTTTTACGACAGTTTTCGTAAAGCTGAGATCTTTTATATTATCAATTAAATATTGATAAAATGAACACTTTCGCGATATATACCCTTACGAAAAAATCCTATAGGATCCTATAGGAATTCCTATAGGAAATGCCATTTCCTATAGGAATTCCTATAGGATCCCATAGGAATAGAATTCCTATAGGAATTTCCTATAGCAATTCCTATAGGAATAGAATTCCTATAGGAATTTCCTATTGGAATTCCTATAGGATCCTATAGGAATAGATTTTCTATAGGAATATCCTATAGGAATAGAATTCCTATTGGGATTTCCTATAGGAATTCCTATAGGAATTTCTTATAGGAATTTCCTATAGGAATTTTCCTGTAGGAATTTCCTATAGGAATTCGTATATGATGTTATATTAAGAATTCTATTGCTGCTATTATATGTCTTACTCTGTTTTTTATAGCAAAATACAAAACAAGTGTAACTCAAATGATCGATATCGATCTGCATCGATATATATATTGTTATTGACCTTTAACTGGAGTTGCACTTGTTTTATATTTTGCTAAAATACTCAGTGGTTATGTTCTTAGTCTCAATGTGTTTAGCTAGCTAGGATTTCTATATTATAAAATTCCTGATGGTCCATAATGCAAGCATTAATTCCTAGTGGAATTGTATCCCAAATAGCAATAGTTCGCGCTTCAACTGGGCGCCCTGGTGACTAGTTTACTTTTCAGAGCGCAAAGCTTCATGGGATAGCATCGTTTTATTTGTGATAAAAAATATTTGGTGTGGTCACTGCGGTGCTTGGAATATTTCGTTGATATTTTTAATCCAAGCGGTGGGAAAGGAATCGGAAAGTTCTTAACATGTTATTCAGATGTCACAGGTAAGAATACTTTTGTATTTGACTTATTATTTAAGCCCTTTAATTGCGAAATAATGTGGTGAATATCATTGTTAACTTGAGCCATGTGGGCCATATGTAAAATTCTGTTGAATGTTTGAATTTGCCGCGTTCAATTTGCATATAAAACATACAAAATGTTGGTTTCTGGCAGCAAAGAAAGAATGAAATATAAATTCGAACCTATTATTGTGAATTCTATACTAAATTTCACACTATTATTAACAATTTAGCAATATTTTCTTTGGCATAATCTGGCACTTTGCTTAAAGTTAAGACTATTGTAAAGCTGGGTAAATAATTATATAAAATAATATATATTAAATATCCAAATGCTTTTAAAGATATGTTTGCATTTTAATACTTCAATAA